GTCCCAGTCCTCTTGAATACAACAGAGAGGTGTTGTACAACTATAAACACAAGGATTTTAAACCTTGCAAAGAACAGTGGTATATTAAAGGGGATATAATATAAACTGGGCAACCACAGAGAAGTGTTTACACAAACTGTTGCACGTGCCAACATATCGGAGCTGGGATATTTACTGGTTACAAGTTCTGGCAAAAGAAAACACAGTGTCTACACTTAACTTTAAGGTTCAAGTCACACCCATAGCAATCTTCTGTGAGAGAGGTATATTTATGTAACCAAACAGTTCTCAGGAAGGAAAGATAACTACCCCACTCAGATTGTAGTTGACTGGGCGACATGTTTACTGCTGCCTGAAACTTTCAAAAGAAACTTGTCTATGATGTTAATACAACTTCTCGACTTAGCAAAGTTTATTAATTAGGCAAGTTCAACGTGAAAACTGTCCTCATCTTAGAGCAGGGGTCTCAAACTCAATTTACCTGGGGGCTGCTGGAGACAGAGTCTGGCTGAGGCTGGGCTGCATCAGATTTTCCACCAAGCGGAGCAACAGCCCAAGGAAGCCACTTGGGAGTTTCCTTAGCCTGGCTGGGGCTCGGAGGAGGAGGAGGAAGCACCACTGGGCACTGAGGCGGCTGCTGGCCAGGCTGGGGCTGGGGGTGCCGAGAGAGAAAGAGAGCCAGAGAGCCATTTCTCTGGAAGAGGTGGTGGCGGCAGCTGCTGTTGGCAGCGTTGTTGGAGGCGCTCTTCGAGGACGGGCTGGGAGCAAGCTCCGCTCTCAGGCATCGCTTGGCGGTGGCTCAGGCGCTTGGGAAAAGGGGCCAGCAGCACGCCTCACTCGCTGACTCTCCCCCAAGACAGTGCCTCTTGTACCCTCCATCCGGAACTGCAGCCTGCCAGTTCCGGATGGAGGGTGCAAGAGGCGCTGTCTTAGGAGAGACCTGGCGAGCGAGGCGAGGGCTTTTTTGACTCTTGACAGCAGAGGATGCATGGGAACTTCGGGGGCAGGCAAGCCGGGGGCCACAAACTATCATCTGGCGGGCCGCAAATGGCCCCTGGGCCGCATGTTTGAGACCCCTGCCTTAGAGGGTTTCCTTTATAGCTGTGCAATTATAAGTACCTGGCAATGCCTAATGAAACTTGGATATACATTACATTAGCTGCAACATCAGGTCTGACTATAAGGGCAGTTCCACACAGAGAGCATGGCAGAAGTCTAGCCACAAGAGAATGGGTTATATGCATTAGTGTGACCAGGTCATCTAAGTCTAGGAATGGAGATAGCTGACAAATCAGCTTTTTTTTTTTACTTTTTAAATTAATTTCATTGCTAATGAATAAAAAGACAATCAACCATATTACAAATAGTAAATACAAAGTTATTCCCCACAATTCTCCAAATCACATATATACCATTTCCCGGCACTATTTAAAGAAACATCGACCAACAATCTAAATTTCTTTTCAATGCACAATTCTCCAAATCACTTATATACCATTTCCCGTCACTATTTAAAGAAACATCAACCAACAATCTAAATTTCTTGTCAATCCACATGTCCCAAAGTCTATTTTGTCGACATATTTTAATAATGGCTTCCAATTTTCAGTGAATTTACATTGGCTTAATCTAACTTTATTAGTCATTTTTTCCATCAGCAATGTATGCCATATTTTACTTGTAAACACTTGCAATGAGAGATCTTGGGCTTTCCCCCCAATTTTTAGCAATTTCAGATCTTGCGGTCCCTATAAGATTTGCAATTAATTCTTTATATTCGACAAATCAGCTTGTTAGTAAAACTACCTGGGTGCCAATGATAGCTTAAAATCAAGGAGTATTGCCAAGCTACACTCAGAAACTGGCATAACGGTTGCTCAGAGGCTGAGAAGCCCTCAAAAGCCTCAGTAAATTATCTGCAACAAGCATTTTGTTGACTGCTTCTATTTTACAAACAGGCTTTTGGGTATTGTTTGCAAACAGATTATCACAAACAGCTGCATGTGGAAGCAGTGCACTGAAAACCTGAACAACCACCTAGCTGTAGTAGTAATAGTAAATGTGTAGTTCTTATCCACAAGGTTGTGTGCTCAAGTGTTTTGTAAAAATAACTCTTTATCAGAGCACCAAATTGTTACCGAATAGGCTAGGTTTGCACAACACCCCTGCAGAGTCTAAGTTTTGCCTATAGACATGCAAATGTACAACTAAGACTGTTTTAACTGTCTCCTCAGTGACCAGCTTTCTGAGAAGGGGTTTTGAATGGATTGTTGTGCTCTGTTGCTTTTAAATGTGTTTTTAGCAATGATTTTAACTACCATTTTAACATAATACTTGTTTAATTATTTTTTATACTTTCTATACTTATTCTTTTTAGCATTTAAATACTGTCTTTTTAATGATGTCAGCTTTTAAAGGAGAAAGGTGGGATAAAAGTATTTTAAAGAAATAGGCAAACTCAAAAACTAGTCAGGCCAAAGAAATGGATAGCTTAAGAACTGAGGGGGGGGGAAGAGAAAAAGTCTTGGGTTTCAAGGTCAGCCAAGCCACCCAAAAGGAAATGATAGGAATATAGCTCCATTTTGATTCCTCTCGCTGTGTGATTTAAGGAAAAGATCCTTTAGTAACTCTTCTCATCCATCAAAGAATCCCTGCAAATACTCTCTGCTCTGCCAGTATAGACCTTTTCAGAGCAGCCTGGATCTCAGAACCCTCTCAGCCATGTGAGTTTGGTTCTTTTGAGCCTCTATTTCTCCTCATATATATTTTTATAATCTATTGTCAGCATGCACAGGGAAATATAAACTGAAATAAGAAAACTCATATTGGGTGAAAATTCTTCTTTGCTCTACCACGCCAATCACAGCATGTTCTTGGTTATTTCATAACTTTAGAAATGCATGCATATTGTTTATCCATCTCCCATCTAGTACTTCTAGTTAATTTCTTTTTTAGAGAGAAATCAGGAGACTGCCAATATCCTCAGCACTGCTAAGATACAGCTGGGGCATTTATTCAAAAACGTACAGAGCAAAGGAACAGGAGGAAGAGGAGAAGGAAGGAAGAAGTTTTTAAAAATGTGTGTTTGAAGACAGAGGGGAACGATTTAATCAGTACTTAAGACAGCAGACAGAAGGTGCCCTGTGGCTATAACTAGTTTGCATATTTTTATTTTCTAACACTCATCCTCTGCATAACAGTCGCATGAATTTGCTGGACATTAGGCCCACAGCTGGATATTATGTTGCTCTCCTTCTGAGAAGACATATATCTAATTTGCAGAGTGATAATAGAATAAAACATGAAGGTGAATTGAGAAGATCTCACAATGAATCTTAGAAAGGCTCAGTGACAGAAATATTCTCCTGCTGGCATATAGTTTCCCTTATTATCTTTGCATTTTAATATGAAACTGGAAGCATCCTAAGGGTCAAGACAAGAAGAACATCTGAGAACTAGTAAAGAAGATTTGATAGCATGTACACTAACATGCAAACAAATGATTTCCCCCCTATTCTGGATCAAGTACAGGAAAAAATTACTTGCATCGTTTCATCAAATGTGACATATAAGAACATACTAAGAGCCCTGCTGGATCAGGCCAAGGGCCCATCTAGTCCAGCTTCCTGTATCTCACAGAGGCCCCCCAGGTGCCTCTGGTAGCCCACGAGACAACTAGATACCTGTCTCCTGATACCACTGCCCTGCATCTGACATTTTAATGTACCTTCCTTTTATTTATTTATTTATTTATCTATTCATTCATTCATCTTGTATGCCACCCGCACTCTGCAAGCCTGGAGATTATAAATCACCATCATAGCTTGTAACCTGAGATGGATTTTACCTCCAGAAATCTGTCCAATGTCCTTTTAAAGACATCTAGTCCATATGCCATCACTACATCCTGTGGCAAGGAGTTCCACAGACAGACAACATGCTGGGTAAAGAAATATTTTCTTTTGTCTGTTCTTATTCTTCCAACACTCAATTGGAGTGGATGTCCCCTGGTTGTGGTATTGCATGAGAGGGAAAAGAGCTTACCTCTATCCACTTTATCCATCCTCAGAATCGTTTTATACGTCTCAATCATGTCCCCCCCCTCAGGCGCCTTTTTTCTAGACTAAAAAGCCTCATAAGGGAGCCTTTCCTCATAAGGGAGGTGCCCTAGCCCAGTAACCATTTGAGTCACTCTCTTCTGCAACTTTTCCAGTCCCACTATGGCATTTTTGAGGTCTAGTGACCAGAACTGCATGCAATTCTCCAGGTGCCGTCTTACCATTGTTTTGTACAATGGCATTATAATGTTGGCTGTTTTATTTTTCAATCCCCTTTTTAATGATACCTAGCATGGAATTGGCCTTCTTCACTGCCACTGCACACTGGGTTGACACTTTCATCGAGCTGTCCACCAGCACACCAAGATCTCTTTTCTGATCCATCACATACAGCTCAGAACCCATCAGCTGATACAATATCAGGTTCTGAGCTATCTGACGGATCACAAAATATATATCCCAGGAATGCTACCGTCAACAAAAACCTCTACTTCAAAGCATTGTCTCTGATATTTCCGTGGGTGTCTCAGACATTCGCAGCTATTCAAAGAAGTCCTGCAGAACTTAGAATCTGCAATGATGAATGAAGTCCAATCAGATGTATGTAGCAGGGCCAAGCATGCAAAATCGACAAGCAATGATGCAACCCTTATCTGGTAAGTTTTGTTTAACTTTCTGGGCCACATGTTGCACCAGTTCTAAGACAAGACCTGAAGCTAAACTTCTAGAAGAATGATGAATCTCCTGATATGTCAATTAAAGAAAAAAAATCTTGAACAAGGTGTATCAATTTTTTATTTAAAACATCTCTCAGTTCCCCCCATGTGAACTGCAGAATTTAGACGGATACCTGGAACTCCACCTCTAGGAAAGAAAGTTACCCTAAGGAGAGGCGGTCGTTTTAGGTCACTTTTGTGTAAAAGAATATATATTTTTTCTTACCTGCTTGTACTCGGACTCTCTTCCAACGAGGATCTGCAGAATATAACCGACAGGATCTCCCTTCATGGGAAGTACTGCTTCCCACATAATTTCACAGGCATTTCCTTCCAATGGTCTCACTCGAGGTGCTAAAATATAGATTTCTACAAATGAACTGGGTGAAGCATAAGGAAACACTGCAATAAATACCTAAAGAGGCAGCTGTGTTATCTGTTGCAACCTCTACAACAATGGCGATGACAACAACAAAGGGACTTTGTCGTAACATTTAGTTTAAAAGGTTTAATTCTTTGTGATCTTTTGTGAATTACAGTTTATTTTGTCAAACACACAGGATTGTAATCCACAGAAACTCATGCCGAAATAAACCCGTTAGCATCAAAGTGGTGTTGTTAAACATACGACAACAATCATTTTCTTCCTCTCCAAAGTTTATTTTAATTTGGAAAAATATATTTAACATATTTTACTTTATTTCTTTCTTAGAATTAGAATACTACCAAAGATAGGTCCAAAAAAACACCAATCAGATTGAGCTAAACTGCAGTCAGGGCTACCTAAGGTATTTTGCTGCCTGTGGAAGGGACAAGATTCTCGTGTACATGCGCACCTTTTAATATTCAGTGAGCTACAGATTGCACGGTATACAAAGCTCTATTTGAAAACACCTTGTCATAGTTCTGTTCTCCCCTCAACATCTCTCGCGTACGGGCGCGCACACACCTTTTAATACTGTATTCAGTGAGGTACAGAGTGCACGGTATACAAAGCTCTATTTGTCATAGTTCTGTTCTCCCCTCAACATCTGCTGCCTTAGGTAGCTACTTCACCCTTCCTCATGGTAGAACTAGGCCAGAATAACTATTTATGAAGTAAAATAACAATAAACCAGAAATTTAAGAATCAGTAAGGTCAACAAAGACTGCCAATGTAGCTCAGTGGGCTGGCACATATGGCTGTGGGGACAGGGGCTTAAAGTCTGAATCTTCTTTGTGCCTCCCAGAGAATAGCCAACAAAGATCATGTAGGATGTGTATTGCAGACTGAATTATGTGCGCTTCCACTTGTGTGGTCTTTGGGAAACAGCACGGTCCCAGAAGAAGGACTGAGAAACCACATCTGCATGATTTATAGCTGGAAAACCCTACGAAAGTCACCATAATGTAAGAATCGATTAGATGGCATATAATTCTGAATTAATGTGAAACAAATATTTTGTAGGAGAAAATCCCTTTGCTAAAGAGAATCATTTAAGTTTCGGGGGGGGGGGAATTATCAACTTTTGATAATTCTGAATATATCCAGAATAAAATACAGTATAAGAAAATCAAAGCTATTTGAAATGTAGTATTTAAAAAAGATCATGTAAAGTGAGATGGGCAGAGAATAAAGTTCATACAGAACTACTAGACAGAACTAGAGAGGACATATGGAAAAATATCCTTCCACATTCCAAAAAAGAGGGGGGGATTGCCTTGAAAATATAAAAAGAATTAAAGAAAAAAGCAACAAAAGGTTAGATATTCAGACATAAGACAACTAAAAGAAGAAGGGGGAAGGGTCCTTTTAAAGGAGAAAGACGGGAAACATTTTTAAACAAACAAATAAACAAACAAACAAAAAGGTGGGAAGATACTCAGATCTGAAAAAGAATTTTACATGTCGGAAAAGGGTGGTGAGCTGTTAGAAATCTACCACTACATGAAAACACACGTGGGATTAGCAGTGAGTTATTCAATTGCTCCAAGTGTGAAACATAATCCACTGATGCCAAGTCAACACCTACCGTAATTCACAGCTGTTCTCTTGTTAGAAGAGTGAAAAACAAAAGATGAAAGGGACAGAGAGAGAGAGAGAGAGAGAAAGAGAGAGAGAGAGAGAGAGGGAGGGAGCGAGGGAGAACCAAGCTGTGCTGAAGAAAAATGTTTTTCTAATAATAGAAGAATTTTTGTTTTTTTCTTCTTAAAAAATGTGTTTTTTTAAACTTCTGAGATGGCAGAGTACTATGTTCCCAATGGCAAGAGATAAACACAATTTACTTTCTTGAATTTATCTATTTGAGATTACAGTTCTGATCTGCGATATATATTCTGGCCATGAAGGAAGCACAATTTGTTATCAGAGCCCGTCATATGCAAAAGCTGAGTGTCACTCTGGGGGCAAAAAGTCACTGGATGTTGTTCATCAACTACAGCAGCCTTTGGGCTAAGCCATCTTTTTCTTTTCTTTTTCTGGGGAAAAATGCAAACCAAATTCACAACAACATTAACAAATATTTCTTTTTAAAGAAAAAATATGTGCTCTCCCCCCCTCCCTGGTCTCCCCTCTCTGCAGATGTGATAAAAAGATTTAAAATAAAAATAAAAACACTTTGCTCTTAGAAGCCTCCAGCAGAAGGGGCAGGAAAACATTTATAAACAATGGGGCATCTGGGGCAGAGATCTGAGGGCACTTTTATCATCATCAGTAATAACAAAACAAAAATAAAACCCATTTTGTCAAGTTGATTTTTAGTCATGGCAACTCTTTCTAGGATTGTTTTGAGGACAGAGTACTTAGAAATAGTTTACCATTCCCTTCTTCTGAGGGCACTCAGCTTGTCAAGACCTACACTGAAGAAGCTGGCTCTATCCTTGGGAGGCACAGTAGGGATCAAACTCCAACCCTCTAGCTCCATCTAACTCACTAAATAATCCAGCCCAGTGGGGACTTATGGGCAGAAAAAACCACACTGTATTGTCTACAAGCTGCATATCCTGTTCAGTACACCACACTCAACAATAAGCAAAAGCAGAAAAACAGCACTAAACCTCTTCTAAAGCAAAGCTCTTCCAGACACAGTAAAGGGGAGCAGGTGCAGATTAGAAAAATGAGGACAGGACATGACCATATATGTTGTGCTGAACTCGTAGGATGACTGATGGAATTATAAGTACCTGTTCACTTTGGATAGATACCCATGTGCAGTTCTCGCATCAGTCCTATCTATCTATGTGATGAATATGTTTCCTACTAAAGGAGTGAAGAGTGGTCTTTTAGGCCAGATGGGTGATGTATAAATAAATAAATAAATAAATAACAACAACAACTCACTGAGATATCCACCCTGTGTAGCTTGGGCAATAGGATAGGGGAAATGATTTTTTCAGTTTTTTTCATGCTTTTGTAGGAATGTGTGGCACTGGTTCCAGCAGCTCAGTATTGAGATAGATAGATAGATAGATAGATAGATAGATAGATAGATAAAGAGAAGAATAAGAATTGTTGTATCATGCTTCCATCAGCAAGCTTTAGAATGCTGGGCCTCTCATTGTTAATGTCCTTTTCTCTAATGGGAGAAGAGGACATTAGCTGAACATGTAGCTATCAGCAGTATCTTTTTTCTGTTTCATAGAATCTTAGAATTATGGAATAATTGTGTTGGAAGGGACCTATAAGACCATTGAGTCCAATTCCCTGCTCAATGCAGGAATCCAAATCAAAGCAGATCTGACAGATGGTTGTCCAATGTTCTCTTGAATGCCTCCAGCATTTTCCTGAATGCCACCACCTCCCAAGAGTATTGGTTCCATTGTTGTACTACTCTAACAGTTAAGGAGTTTTTCCTGATATTCAGACTACATCTGGATTCCTGCAGCTTGAGCCCATTATTCTGTGTCCTGCACTCTGGGATGACTGACAACAGATCCTGCCCTTTCATCCAAGAGTTAGGTGAATGGGGTTCTATATGGATCAGGAACATAGTGTCAGAAGCAGCTGTAGGCTTTCATATTCCCCTCAACCCTCTGCTAGGGTACCAATGCAGACTTGGTCTAACAGGCCTGCAATTTATATTACAAAACAAGGATGGGCCTGCAAGCACTATTTAGATGTCCTTTCCAAGGGGGTAGAGATATAAATCTACTCCATCAGAAACAACACAGCCATGTGGCACCTTAAAGACAGTAGGTTTTATCTGGCATAAACTTTATTGGACTGTAATCCACCATAGTCCATGAAAGCTTATGTCAAATAAAACCTGCTCATCTTTAAGGTATGACATGACTATTTGTTATTTTTCAATATTAATTTACCCAGATCTACATTCTGGAAGGGTGCTAATGCTAAAGTCCCCCTTGCCCACATACTAGGGTCTTAATTCAGTAGGGAGATCTCCACTTCCTAAAACAGAAAGTAAGTAATGCTGATCTAATGATCAAGGCTCCTCATGGTGGGCTACTGTGGAAAAATAGAGTAACACTGAATGCTGCACTAAAAATGCATTATTAGTTGCAGTAACAAAACATCAGAGAAGCATCTTGTTTACCTTTGATAGCAGGGGGAATGGATTTGGTTGTACTGAAGGTAAACACTTCTGAGAAAGGTCCTTCCCCAGCATCATTGACAGCTTGTATTCTAAAAGCATAGCAGGTAAATTCCATCAGTCGCTGTACCTTGTAGGTGTGACTTGGTCCCCTATAGATTGGAATAAACCTAAAAAACATAAGAATAGAAAAACCTGAGATGGCCATTCTTCATTGTTACACTTAAAAACATGAGAATGTGTTCTATGAATATTTCGGAAAAGAACGTTCTGTTCACTGCTCAATTTCTATAACATGTATTAAATTAAAGCTTTATCCTACTCCCAGTATTAGCAAATCTAGTATTGCAAACATAGTTTATTGTTGCTACACTATGTTATGAACCAGACCTTTTACTTAAGACTGGCATGCTGACAAATATTAGCTCACTGTGTTTATCAAGTTACAAATGCTTGACCTCCAAACCAACTCATTTTTCTGAACATGATGTGTGGTACTGTTTGGACCTGGCTCTAGCAATCAGATGGCCACTTCACCTGCATGAACAGCCAGTTCTTTGAATTTTCTGCACTCCTAATAGTAACAGCAGGAACACATATAACTGAATACTAATGTTTCCAAGAATAAATCTAGGTTTGCTGAATTTGATCACATTACAAGGGTTTCCAGGACTGGTCTCAAGTATACAACAGCTCAAGTATACAATGTCTAAAGCCGGGGTCTCCAAACTTTTCAGTATGAGGGCCACATCATATATTTTACACATTCTCGAGGGCCCAAGGAGCAAATCGGGACCCAAACGATCCCCAACCCCACTGTCTTTGCAAAGATAGTGGTGGTGAGGGATTGCTAGGGTCCCCCTTCCCTCCTCTTCCTATGCCTGGGTTGGATTAAAAGGCAAGGTGGGCCAGATATGGCCTGCGGGCCATAGGTTGGAGACCCCTGACCCAAAGCATAACATAATTATAATAGGGATGAACAGAAATATGAATGTTCAATACGTCAAATGTACTGTAGATGTGAAATTGGTTTCCTGCAAACTTTGGGAGACAGCTTTACAACACAAAAGCCCCACTTCTGGATAGCTCAATGGTTTAAGCATCTCGCTTGTGGAGCCAGAGGTTGGAAGTTCGATTCCCCACTAAAATTCTTTTTACAGAGGCTGGACTCGACAATCTATAGGATTCCTCCCAGCTCTGCAGTTCTAAGATTATTATTATTATTAAATTACTCCCTTTCCTTATAATGCTAAAGTATGATTTGATGCTTACCACAGTTTACTATAAATATCTTCCTCTTCAGAAACCAAGCCCTTTCTCCAAACTTCTGTTAGTGTTTTCTTAAGACAGAATTTGAACTATTTGGGCTATTCTTCATCAAAGGGAGGGAAAATTCAGAATGGAAGGGGAGACATCACAATTCCTGAGGTGCCATCTGACTGGCAAAACCACAGGTTCAATGCAACAGAATTTTTGGTGGGGACAACAGTCCTGATGGTGTTCTTATGTGGTATCTTAAGATCAAAGAGCAACACAAAGGTGTTCAGCCTGGCATATGTGGCAGAGATGCCCTCCGATCCAGTTGTTCTGGTGCAGATTTTTTTTTCAGAAACAGAATTAATCACATGGCAAAAATTTATAAAGTCACTAGATCTTCTGTCCTTATATGCAGGCAGTGACAAATAGCTAATTCATAAACAGTTGGTTATCTTTTTATGTATGGCAACATGTTTGGAAATTATCACAAATGGAAGGGAATTTGTAATGCACACAAAACATTGTATGCACAGAGAAACAGTATATGGCATGTTACTCTAACGGAAAAAGTAACACACAATTCAAATTACTGAAACAACAGATGTTCCCTATGGGGGAATTTCGCTTTCCGATGAATGGTTCCCTGCTTCGGGAACCGATCATCGCAAAAAGCAATGATTTTTTAACAGCTGATCGGTGGTTTCAAAATGGCCGCCCGCTGTGTTTTCGCACGGATTCCTCGCTGCACAGGCAGTGAAAATGGCCACGCTATGGAGGATCTTCGCTGGACGGTGAGTTTGAAGCCCCTAGGAACGCATTAATCTGGTTTCAATGTGTTTCTATGGGCTTTTAAAAATCGCATCACGACGTTTTCGTTCTACAGCGATTTCGCTAGAACGAATTAACGTCGTGATGCAAGGCACCACTGTATATAACAATGACAAGATTTATTTTCCACCAGCCTCCTATGCCAATCTTTGGCGTGATATTCTAATTTGATGCAGATTACAATGATGCGAAGGTAGTATAACAGATTACACCTTTCCAGTGAACTATTTTGTTTTTATTGTTGTTTCCATATTCTTTCAATAAAGGTTTTTTTAAAGAAATCCACAGAACCAATTGAGAGGTTCCAATGCTCTCAATGGGGCAATCAATCACTCTTGAAACTAGGAGTTGGGTGAACATGTGGCCATATTTGAATCCAGACCCTTATTTGAAGCAATATAGTCCCAACAAGTCTGCTCCTCACTTTCTTACTAAGAGTAGCCAGTACATCTCACAAACATATGCTTATATAATAATGACAACAACCCCCCCCTTCACAAACCACTGAATCTTGAAAAAGCTGTTCACTACTGATCTACTACTAACCTGTCTGGTTTCAAATGTAAGAGGCAATGGGAAAACCCATTGTTATCAAGGCTAATTATCAAGGAGCCTTCAACCCTACTCATGTAGGTATAAATTAGTAAAACTTCTGTCTGGTCAATACCTTAGTATCTGATGCTATTTAGAACATCTTCTGCCAAGAATCATACTTCCATATACATTTGTGAACATGTGCATATTATGTGTTGCCAAGCCAGAACCGACTAATGGTGACCCTTATAGAGCTGTCAAGGTAAGGGAGATACTGAAGAAATAGTTTAACCAGTGCTATCCCACCCATGAGTTTCCTAAACTGAGCAGGGATTTGAACCCAGGTATCCTGAGTCCTAGTCTATTAATTTATCCATTTCACCAAATGGGATTATAGTCCATCATAATTGCCTATCCATTTCAAACGTGTACAACCTTTCTTAACCTGAGAATTACATATGCCAATGGTTTAATGTTTGAGGTCCCCACAGCCCTGTACACACACACACATATGCACAAAGCCACATGTAAGCAATTTTGATCCAGATTGCCTTTTCTTTTGCTTATTGCAGGTAAACCTTATAGAGATAGTAACACTAGAAATTCTGGGGAACAAAGATCATTGTTTTTGTCATCCCCACTCATTTTTCTTACACAACACTCTACCAGGAAGGAAGAAACAGTCATAAACAACCCTTCCATAGAAAGATGGGCAGCACTGGAAGCAACCTATTGTTTCCCAATGTCATGTTCAGTTTCTTTTCAGCACTGCTTGCATACATTTATCTCATTCAAGCAGACTCATTTATGCTGACAGCTACATATGACAATTCTCACCTTCACTGCTGAGTCCTCTGAAAGAGCTTCTAGAGACATATGGTTGACCACTGCTGAAAATACAATGCTGGACTAGATTTACATTGATCTGTTCCAACCAATCAGTTCTTATTAACTCTGAACATAATTATCAGCTAGTAAGTAATCTCTCGGCATCTAACATGACAACTGAGCTTTAGAATTTGGATGGGCTGTTTCACAGAAGCTCTATACAGTCAGCAAAAACAAGACCTGGAGCTGATTGTGGCTCTGGTCATTAGCTTCTTATACCAAAATTCAAGCTTAAACTGAAGAAAGTAGGAAGAGCCACTGGTTTAGTCAGGTATAATATAAACCAAATCCCTTATGAATACACAGTGGAAGTGAAGAAGAGATTTAAGGAACCAGATTTGGTGGACAGACTGCCTGAAGAACTATGGATGGAGGCTCGTAACATTGTACAGGAGGCAGCAACAAAAACCATCCCCCCCAAAAAAGGAAATGCAAGAAAGTAAAGTGGCTGTCCAATGAGCCTTACAAATAGCAGAGAAGAGAAGGGAAACCAAATGCATGGGAGATAGGGAAAGTTACAGAAAATGGAATGCTGACTTCCAAAGAGACAAGGAGAGACAAGAGGGTCTTCTTAAATGAACAGTGCAAAGAAATAGAGGAAAATAATAGAAAGGGAAAAACAAGAGATCTGTTCAGGAAAATTGGAGATATTAAAGGAACATTTTGTGCAAAGATGGACATAAAGGACAAAAATGGCAGGGACCTCACAGAAGCAGAAGACATTAAGAGTGGTCCGGTGGGCCAGATAGGCGGGGTATAAATTAAATTAAATTAAATTAAAATAAATTAAAATAAATAAATAAATAAATAAATAAATAAATAAATAAATAAATAAATAAATAAATAGTATCTTGTTTGCATACCAGAATGATCGACTTGTGTGTACACTGGGATGGCATTAAACACGTGGTCTTTTTCTTGTTATTTCCAACCCCTGCTACTTACAACAGGACCATAGTAAATTAGACTAAAATAATCCAGAAATAAACCGCTTTTGTTAAATGGGAACTGTCAGTTTTAATTACTGAAATACACAAAGGGCTGAGCTGAGAACTTTTGTGATGCAGATCCAACTGCTGAGAGCTCTGGCTTTACAAATGTGTGCACGTTCAGCCATTTTGACCTCTTCCCTTCATCTTTAGATTATGTGCTCTAGAACCAGGCCAAACCATAAGCAATTATAGGGCTGACTTGCCAGGCAATGGCTCCAGGGCAAAAATCAGGAGTGTTGAAATAAAATGCCCAGACCAGCAAAGGAGAGGCTATACGTGCAGAAAAGGTTCTGGAAAAAATGTAAGTTGGTAAAACTTCCCAAAAAACCTCTTGTGATTTAAGGTGATTTGGCACTGATTAGGTTAGACCAATAATGGAAATTCTGTCCTTGAAACAAGCAAAATGTTTAGAATAAGTTTGTTCAAGAAAATGAAGCAATAATATACAGCAGTGTGCTGTTTTACTCTCTGAACCTTTGAGAAAGAGAGGAAGACTTCCTAGAGGTACTAACTGAGCAGTAGGTTTTCCAATAAAGAATTGTTCTGGCTCCCCATTTTGCTATAGAAACAGAAAGTGAACAGGAACAATTTCTATGATATTTCAAAACTACTTGCAGTCTTCAATTTTTTTTGCATCAAAGAGATTTACCAAAACCTTTGGGGGGAAAATA